GGGTCAACTGGGTCAACTGGGTTAACTTGTTCAACTGGTGCTGCTTGTCAACTGGTTCAACTGGTACTTGTCAACTGGTTCGATTGGTTCCGCGGTGCCTGACGATGCCTGACGTTTATTGACCCCCAATGCCGACGCACTCAACACACTACATATACATGTAAGTGATCTCCAAGATATATTATATATACACACACGTACATGCTTCACTGTTGCGGGCATGTTTCTTTTCTTTTTTTGCTTCTCTTCATTTTCAGTGGGGGGGGGGGGGGGCGGGGCTCCAAAAAAAAACCCACTTGTTTTTTGTTTCCACACGGATTGCAAGGCATACGAACCGAGCTTCGGAGGCGGAGATCGATCAGCTGGACGCCTCTCTGGCACAGCTCTCGGAGGAGATCGCCTCCATCTCCGCACAGGAGACCGATCCAGCGGATTGGTTTCTTTCGGATTGGGAGCAAGCGGCTTCTCAGGGTCAAAACTAGGTCGACCCCTCAAAATGGCCCCTTGCACCATGTAAAGCCACGAATGACCCAGGTAGTCAGGTAAAAATGGGTCTGTCTTTTTTGGAGGGTACTCCTTTTTTGGGTGGCTTTGAAGGGAAGCCAAAAGGACCACCAAGTATTTTTGGCTCCAACCTAGGAACATATGGCTGTGGGACAACAAAAGGGTGTGGGTCAAAAGAAGGTTGAACCCAGAATAGAACCCTTGTAAATATGGCCTAGAACCTGCAGTCTGGTGGTTTAAATTTAAACCCAGATTGCCTGCCGGTTCTGAGGAAAGACATGAAGGGTTTCCAGTCGGGTTTGTCTCAAGATGAGATTTGGTCTCCCAAACTGGTTTGTTTCCTTTTTCCCTTTGAAGCCAAAAGGGAGTTCCCCGAAAAAGGAGACGCCCAGTCAGATTCCAGATTAGTTGGCGTCTTGGTATGGCAGCTGGCCGTGTCTAAGGGAACCCTTGATGGGCGGGGTTTTAATCGGAAGATGCCACAACCAGGAGGGTTAGGGTTTATTGGGCTAGATCTGGTTCCAAAGGGCAAGGAGTGATCCCGACTGAATCCGACTGAATCGAGCAGACCCCAAAGCCCCATCAGCTCAGAGACAAGCACCCAATTTCTTTGCTGGTTGATTTAAAAGGAAAGGGGTCCCGCCAAACTAAATTCCTCAATGCTATGTCCCTACATTATTCCAGGAAACTCGAATCAAGTGGCAGCCACAATTGGTGATGCTCACGGCAGAAAGGAGATCGAGCTGAGGCATCGTCAAACTATGGCTGTCACTACCAAACTACACCTAGGGGGGAAATATGATACCCTTCATGCTGTGGCATATTGCACTTGTTGGTCAATTCAATAGGGGCTCGATGGTTTAATGCAGATTCTGCTGGTGAGGTTTGTACAAAACCATTGTAACCATGTTTTGTAGAACCAAGCGCCAAGCGCTGCTCAAGTGCATTTTCTTGAGGTAGGGCCCAACACCAAACTTGCCATTGGCCATTGTGATATGTGATCCTACGACTGGCTTCATTGAGGTTACAGAGAGGCCCGTATAGCTTGGTGGCTCCCAGCCATCCTCTTAGCTTTGTAGCTTTTTCTGTGTTTAGTCGGGATTTCCATTCGGCCGACAAAAAGTTAAACTTTTAGCCTGCACATGAATCATCGAAACCATGCTGAATGATAGAAACGCTGGTAGAATTTCGCCGGATTCCCGGCAGGCTCCTTCACCTTGCGCAGGGAGGGAGGGTGACTCAGGTATCCCGCGGGATGGGGACTCAATGGGGATATCGACTCAGGTGGTGTGGTCGTCCACGTGGGTCTGGGTTCCCTAGAAGTGCCTGAATAATTAGGATGCGCTTGTGTGGTACTTTGAGACTATTTTCAGTCTAAGACCATGGCCCCATGTATCATATTCCTTTAACTATCATCACCTTTTCATTGCCATTTGTTTCCTGCGAGTTTCCTTTGGGAGTGATGTGCAAAGGGAGGAACACCCTTCCACAATTTAAATTGAACCTGACGTTCGGAATCCGGTGCCTTTAAAAGGGTTAAATGGTCCAAACCAGGCCCGATTCCCCGAAACGTCGAACGGCTCCATTGTTAAGTGGTGGGAGGCGATATATGCTTTACATCCCATGGCGTGGTAGCAAAACCAACAAAAAAACGCGTGCAATTGTTTTGGTCCCCCTTTCTCCCCCCCCCCCGCCAAACCTGCGATTTTTTCTTTGGTACTTCCACCCCCCCCCCCCCATCCGTCGCTTCGTCCGTCGCTTCGTCCAGTCGCATCGCAGGTCACGGAGCTGAGCGGAGCGCTGGCGGAGGCCCTGCGCCTGCGCCAGGCGAGGGATTCGGAGCGTCTGACTCAAAGCGAGGGCTTCGGCTCCCCCGAGGAGCGCCGGCTAGGTGCCGTTTCTTTTACCCTTTCCTTTTTTGTTGGGAGGGTTCCCTTATTAAAATAGACTACTGAAAAGAAGTTGGTACCCTTATTCGAACCTCTCTACTGGAGGATCTAGTTAAGGATCAACGGAATGGGTGGAGCATGTAGGATATTTAGTTGCGGGACTGAGGGCCGAAAGGGACGGAAAGGGAGTGAAAGGGACTGAAAGGGACTGAAAACGCGAAATGGGTTGAGCATTTGCTTGGTTTGGCCAAACTATCTAGTCCTGCCTTGCTTTTGGGAGGGGGGGGCAGCTTTAAATTTGTACAAAGTTTCTTGCTGGTGCCATATGTAGGGATCCGGGTTTTGGGAATGAACCGCAAGGGGATTGATTCCGTTGAAGGACACCATGGGGGGTGGTTTTTCTCGGGATCCTTCCATTTCTCATTCCCTGCTGAGAACCAGCAAGTTTAGATATTTAGTTGCATCCTAAATGGGCAGATATTGACCTTGGGGGGGCTTTCGGGATTCGACTTGGGACCCTAAAGCCGTTTGGGCTGAAAATGATTTGCTAGCTTCCCCAGTGCCCATAGGTGTCCTTTTTAGGTCAGTTTGACTAAAAGTAGATGGCGCTGGCTTAGGTGGGGTTTCCTCCATTTACCAGGGCCATCTAATTTTCCAAGAGGCCACCTATGCCAGCGCCCATAAACTGCATGACCATTCCAGATGATTCTTCCATGTCCCCATCTTTTCCCCTTCCAGGGGTACCCAAAGCCCACAACCGAAGAGGCCGCAAACATTTCCCCTCACTCGAACAAGTTCGTGGGAGACCACCGAACCTTTTTCGTTGGGGGGATCTCCCTCAGGGGCCTCCGAATTTCCAAATGGGCAAACCACGGCAGAAGTTGTGTATGGGGTCCTGTTGCTTTCCCAAGTTTCTACCCGAAGAGTCTTAGTACATCTTAGGTTTGCCCCCGCAACCAGGACTAAGGGCTAACTAATTGCAGGTAGTTTACTCCTCCAATCATGCCTGGTTCTGACGTTTACTCCTCCAATCATTTCTGGTTTCGAAGTACACAAACCTACTCCGTGCCCAGCTCTCACCCCCGCAGGCGGAGCAAGAGAAGCACAAGGCGACCCTGCAGGAGGCCACCCGCGCTGCAAAAACCAGCGCCCCATACAGAGAAACTCCCCCTGCAGCCAGGGTTTGCCGCCTTTTTCGTAGCTCACTTCCTGAGTTCCTGGATTTTGGTCAGCAGAAACCCCGACATTGGTCTCAAATCTCTCCTCGCTTCCGTGGATTGGCCAAAAGTGCCAAGCTTTTTGGTTGCCACCAAAGTGGTGACCCAGCTTCGGAGTTTCGAGAGACGGGGGAGTTCGCCCTATCTGTCGGGTTGCAAAGTCTTTGCAGAAGCAGCCAACCCGTCGGAGACTGATGCGTGTTTTCGGTCCTGGGTTCAGCCCACCAGCTCGGGAGCGGCTGATTTCGGCACGAGTGCCTCGTCAGCTCTTTGACCGAAAGGACCTTTTTGCCGGGTTCCTTGTTTTGAACGGTTTCTGGGGGTATCAAAGTCAGAAAATGGGAAACGGGGTTGTTTCCTTTGACCAACCGGTTGACCAACCGCTTAGGGGATGACTTTCATCATGGCCAAATAGTGGGGCCAGGTTTGCCTTGTGGAACAGGACGACGCTTTCCTAGTGCAGCCAACAACTTTTTGAACACAGCTCAGAGCTTGAATATAAACCACCGCATTGCTTGAGCGGTGTTTATTTGTTGTATTTTCAGCTGGACCTTTATCTTCCAACTTGTTTCTGCTCACTGCCATGCCAAGAGTGGCTCTGTTGTTGTTTTTTTTGCGCCGTCAAAGACCACCCAGTTTCGGATTTGTTGCCTTTCCTTTGCTTCGCCGTTCTCCCACCAGGATGATGGAACATCATATTATTATTCCAACCCCTCCGTTTTGAACGGCCCATGTTTCAAAGCTTGCAGAACGTACGTTTTAGTTGTTTTCGCCTTTGTGTCTGGGCCGAGAAAGAGCAGCTTTCAGCCTTTGGGGAATACACAACTAAACGCAAAGCAGAAGTTGAAGTTGAACTTCTATTTCCGGGGTTCGGCTCAGGCAGTTTTTGCAGACAGCTTCTTTTTTCAGATCCTTTCCTAGGAAAACTACGTGTGCGGACAAATGTGGCTTTTACGTGGAGACCAGCATGGATTCTTTGAGTGGTTTGTACTTTGACGTGGAACCAACATGTGGCCTCATGTAGAGTTTTTTTTTGGCATGTCTTTTTCCAATCCTGCTTGACGTGTTTGTGTTGGTTCGTGGTATACAGCCCTTTGCGGGACCCGTTGCTTCTTCTTTTTTTCGACCAGCGACCCGGGCCGCACAAGTCGTTTTGTGTTTAGTTTTGGCAGGCGCAAGAGGCGCAGAAGGCGGTGGCGGAGGCGCTGGGCCTGCTGCAGGAGGGGAAGTCCTGAGTTCAGCTTTGGTGCGATAGGTGGCGGGTGTTACCCCTAGAATAGTGCCAATCGAATCGGTCCAACGGCAGGACGTTTTCTCCAAGAGCTCCCTGCTGCAGCTGAACCAAAGCACGGCCAAGGGAGGTGCCTCGGAGTCGGACCGCCCTTCCTAGGGGTTCCTACCATAGAAGTGGCTGAATCAATGCAAACATTCCTCTTCCATGATAGGGAGAGGATGTTTATAGCCACCAAAATAGCGACAACAGATTTGGGCTCCGAACATCCACGTACCTACCATGGTCAAAATACCAAAAGCAAGCTTTGCTCGGGCTTGAATCATCAACTTCTTGGGGATTTTAGACAACCGTGGAAGGATTCTAAGGGAGCCGAGACCGTCATGACACACAGGAGCTTTGCTCATGGCAAACCCCTTCGAAATGGCTGGAGTTTGGTGGTTTCAGCACTTGTTGGTTGCCAATTAAGTTTGGCGCGGGATTGCTTGAAAGGCTTGAAGCATAGGGACGATTTTCAAGTTGGGTGTGTCTTTGTTGAGGAGACCCCCCTCTAAAATGGTGATGTCTTTGGTTTCGCTTGAACAAACACCAAACACGAGGTGGCCTTGAACATAGACACACCCGATTTCCTCTCCCTCTTGAGCCCCGAAAGCTGGGCCCATGATGTTGACGTGTCGATCGGTTGAGTCAGGAACTGGGGGCCGGATCCCGGGGCAGGGAGGGGGGGGCGTCGAGTAAATCCACTGCTTTTAAGGGCTTGGACACTGACAAACTTGTTGCTTGCAGAACTAGTTGGGTGGCTCAGGTTTTTTGAGGGTGTCCTCTGTTTTGTGGCGAAGAAGTACCAAAAGAAGCACCACCATCCTGGGGTCCAATCCTACAAAACGACACACCCAAATAGCACGGGTCACCAATTCAGTTGGAAACCATGGGGGCAACCTGGCCAAACAAGCCAGCCAAGGCCAAGTGGTTGAGGCCTGAAGGATCGGGAGCATTGGGGGCGGAGGTGTTGCTAAGATCCCTGATATTTTGAAGAGTAGTAGCAAGCAGTTTGCTGCGTTCCATTTGTTTGATGTTTCTCTTTCGGCATTTGCTTGAGGCCGTTGGTGTTCGCCATGTTGTTCGCCTTATCCCCACCTCCGATCCCCTGTTTAACTCCACTGTTTCTTCAACATCATTCACTGGCATTTGTTTGTACTGAATCTCCACCTCTTTGTCTTCTTTCTCCCTCAGGGCTCCTTCTAGCGGCATGGCTAGGGCCAGTCTTGAGCGGGCTTGGAGCTGAATGGCCAGCTCGTGTTCATGGAGTGGGGGTTGGCTTGTTGGGCGTGCAAAAGGCGCCGTTTTGGCGCCTTTTTCAGGGGTCCCTATGTTTGCACCTAGGCTGGTTGTGAACATCACCTTTTCAAGGGAGCTTCCTTGTGGGGTGATGTTCAAGGGGAAGTATAAGGAGGTCACTCTCTTTCTCTCTCTCTCTCTCTCTCTCTATTCATATCTGTATATATGTACCAGTCCCTGGGCCACGTACCCCCCCCCCCACCCCCCCCAATGGTATGGTCCCCCCACTCCCCCGCATCATCCGCATCTTGGGGATGATGCTGGCAATGCTGGGGATGCTGTCCAGTACCGTGCGAGCCCTGCAGCTTCGGTCCCAGACCCCCTTTCACCCCGTGAACCAACACCCCCGCACCTCTCGCAACATCCTACCCTAAACCAAACCACCCTGCAACCCCTCCTTAACCCCAACCCTAAGCCTAAATCAACCCAAAACCCAAACCCACCCGAAACCCACCGCAAACCAACCCTGAACCAACCCTGAACCAACCCTGAACCAACCCTAAACCAACCCACCAAGCCTAAACCAACTCCGAACCACACCCAACCACCCAACCACCCAACCACCCAACCACCCCCCCCCCCCCCCCCCCCCCCCCCCCCACCACCCCCACCCAACCACCCCCCCCCCCCCACCACCCCCCCCCCCCCCCCCCCCCCCCCCCCCCCCCCCCCCCCCCCCCCCCCAAAAATAGTAAAAGGAGAATTCAAAGAATTATTCTTTCTACTATTTTTTCTCCAACAGCAACACAACAAACAGAAAACAAAATCCAGAACAACAAGCAAACAAAATAAATAATCACAACCAGCAACAAAAATATTTAATCACAGCATACAACATTAAATAATTCAAACAAGCATACCAACAAAACAGCAACACTCTAAATCATCAAAGAACCCAAACTCAAAAACACACATCAACAAAAAACAAAGCAACATACCAACAAAAAATATCATAAGAGTATCAAACAAAACAAAAACAAACAGCCAAAGCACGAAAAAATTGAAGAAGCATGCCAAGTCTAAACAACGCACTTTGAAAGAGATAAGCAAATTATAATAATTCAATCTTTACAAACGATAAATATATTACAATTATAACACATAATATTTTACATGTGATAATCATAGTATGATTAATAATTATGGGTTACATTTATAGTCAGGAAAAATGTCTTCAAATATGTAATCTACATATTTATCAATATCGCCAATGTCTATATATTTGATATTGTCTTTTCCTATTATTGAATAAATATATTCCCAGAAAAACAAATTAACTAGTAGCCATACTTGATATTTAGTGTCGTAGTAATACCATACATGATATTTAGTTATTCTAAATTCATTCAAGACCTTGTTTATTTTATCTTTGCTTAATAAATGCCAATCAATCTCTTCAAACAAATCACGAAATTCTTTAGCAAATGATTTATATGGTTTAATGCTTAGTTCTCCTCCAAACCTTTTAATCAAATCTTTATTATTAAAAAACTCATCAATTTCTTTTTCAAATGACTCTCTATCAATTTTATGACAAAAATATACAGGAAATCGTTTTTGATATTTCATAAAGAATGTCAATTGTAATTGAAACTTTGTATATCCCTTATCCTTATATTCTTCAACAAACAACTTTTCAAGGTCTCTTGTTATACAGCATTGATTACAATATACATCATATTCACTTATTTTATTACACAGATTAGCAGGTAATAAGTTATACAATGTAAAAATAATATCATTCTTTTTATTATTACAACATTCACACTTACTATAATTAAACAGTGTCATTTTTCCTCTTAATATATTAAGTCAATATTTCTTTAAGTCGTTTTCAAAGAATTTATTTTATAATGACCGTAAGCAAGTGAGTTTATACTATCTATCCAATATTTTTTGTTTTCATAACTACTAAGAGCAATTTTTTTAGTTGTTATACTAAAAATTCTGTGGTTTTTACTTCTAATACTATTAAATGACTTATGTATAACCTCATTAGTTTTTAAAACCGTCTCAAACTCTTCATATTTCATTTGACGTCTTACTGTGCCTTTTGCTATGCCCTTACATTTCTTATATTTTTTATCATCACCATAAACTGAGTAAGCATAGCATTTAGGACGAAGGGCTATAAACCCTGTTACTATTTTACTTTTTAATTCATCCTTAAATTTCCCTAATACTTTCTTGTTATTATCATCATAACATTTATGTTCCTTAGGATAATCTGAAAAATCTAATTCTTTTTTAATTGTATTAAGGTCTTCATAAATGTCATTGGTTTTAGTATGAAATACAAAACTATCAGTATCAGTATATACCATTTTAATATTATCACCATATTTAGGCTTCATAACGTCATAATAAAATTTATACATGTGTTGCTTACTCAAATCTAAAATACTCATCCCAATAAATATAGGTTTGTCTAGTTTCAACTTTGTTTTTTGCTTTTCAACTCCAACCAAATTTTCATTAATGATATGACTATGTTTGAAGTTAGGATTACTTACACACTTCATATATCTAGTTTCATCACTCACAACCTCAAAATCTAAATGTTTCCTTTTATCCTCCATTGTTTTTCCAAATATGGCATTGTTCATCAATTTGTAAACATCTTTCTCAAAATCATTTCTAGCATTCTTCCTCTTCTCAGTGTTAAACTCAATGTAAGGTTTTAAAACTTCTTTTTGTTCAAATTTAATTGCTCTATGAATTTTCTTAAGTTTTAACCCTTGCTTCAAATAAAATTGTAAGGTTCTTATATGGATTACATATTTTTCTTTATCATTTAAGTTCAATATTAATTTATTTGTTTTCTCATCCGTAGGTTTTTTATGATTTAAAAATTCATAAATTTCAATTTGTTTATCTGACAGCATGTCGGCTTTAACATTCATAACCTCAGGTGCCATTGGATAGTCATTGTGTAAATCGTGTAATTCTTTAGGATATTCTAAATCCACTTCTAGAATATATCCAATATTATTATTCTTATAATTAATAATGTCTTCTTCTTTTAATGTATCATCCCATTTTAGATTTTTATATGGCAGTTTTTGTATCATGCTTAACCCGTACAAATTATTAGCATCAAAATAGTTAATATAACTACTTTCTTTATTTTTATCATATTCTTCTCCCATGTATTTATTATTTGCTTCAACTTTTTTAGTAGAAACCATACACATCCCGCCTCTAAGTCCCGCTTCTATCATTTCATACATTTCTTGGTCATATATTAAATCAATCTCTACACCAGTCATTTTAAGCATAGCATCAAAAGCAAAGTTAGGCAATGTATAATAATAAGCAGGGTCCAATCCATAATATTTCATACATACATCTCTAAAATTTTCGAAAATGTCAGTCAATAATAATACATCAGTTTTCAAATATAAATCATGGTATTCACCCATATTCTTAATGTCGAAATGCTTCCATATAATTTTTGCCCTTTCATAGTCGTTAACACTTATACCTTCTTCACTCAACTGACTATAAAAATCATCCTTACTCGGTAATTGCTCATCATCAAATTTATCAAATGAATTCATGTAGTCATAAGGATAAACGCCTTTATCAGTCAGCAAATCTAGACATTTCTCACTCTTAATCACATCATTTTTACTACTGAACCTAAAATTATCTTTCCAGTTTTCACGCAATAACCATTTACTTTTATCTTCTTCATCTGTATTGTCATACTTACTCATTGAAACTAACTTATCTAATGAAGCAGTTAAAAACCCAAAAGTGTCTTTAACACTCAAACTTTCAAAACTGATATTAATAAATTTTTCACTGTTCTGAGCGAT